ACAGAGCCATGGACTTTTATTGCGATATCCGATCCAACTACGAAATCAAACATCAGAGATATCGTAGAGCAAGAGGAGAAAATCAATTACAAAAAGAGGATGGGTATAAAGTGGACAACTGACTTATCTCCGCTAAGGACTAATTGGATAAAGGAATACCTCACCACAGCTCCGTACTTGATACTTGTGTTCAAGCAAACTTATGGCATTTTGCCAAATGGACAGAAAAAGATTCATTATTATAATGAAATGAGCGTTTCTATCGCATGTGGAATTCTCATTACTGCTATACAGGTAAATTAAAATATGTCCTTGTCATTAATATCACTGAAGACAATTTCACGAGTCATGAACATAATTTGACGATTCCCATCATGTCAAAAGTCATGAATCTATACATATGATTTATCATTATTAATTTATTATATAATTGTATTGATTGTATCAAAGGTTATCTCAAAACAAATCTTTTTTTTCTGTGAAGAATCTTTTTCACGATTCACGAAAAATCAAATATATATAAACTAAAAATCAAATATATATAACTAAAATAAAGTAATTTATCAAATAGAAGGAAGTATCGATTTGAAAAAAATGATCTCCGATCAAAAATTATTAACAAAATTTTGAAACGAGTCATTACGAACTGTATCTCATAAACTTTGTGATACTTCACTTATGTAATGATTGTGTTTATATTTAACTTAATTTATTGCACACTATTTTTAAATATAGTATACCGGATTGGTGACTCTTACATCTACGCCAATGAATTGCGGACCAGCAATACGCAATATCCTTGGACGTCCATCCAACGAGAAGTTAGTGTTACTTCTGCCGGTCGGTTATCCAGCTAAAGACGCCACTGTACCCAATTTGCAGCGGAAAGATCTGACTGAGATCCTAGTCGAGATCGATTAAAGGAAGTATAAATTACACAATTGATGCCTTACAGCTATCGTTTGATGCGCTAAAAAAATCGCAAGAATATTTCATACGTTTCTTTATTTACATGGAAAAACGAGAATGGGAGTATTTGAAATAAACAATCCAACATGTATTTATGTTAATGCTATTTTTATGAAAAATTTTATATTTTTCGGATTACTAACTTTTTTTAATATCTTACATTACATTTTGTGGATAATAATTATTTACTATAATCGTAGAATGTAGTGCCCCTTGGCTTAAAACATCGCTGCCAATATTACAAAGTAATCGTAACATTCGAAAGAAAAGCTAATCCCTGAAATATAGCACCTGTTCGTGAGTCATATTGTTTGTTATATTTCTTTCTCCTGCAGAGAAAGAAAGAGAGAGTTGAATAAAAAGTATACAATGGCACGCAATAAGACTGTTCTAAACTTAATAATCCGGTTTGTATAAACTAATGTTTATTTTCAAATTTGTATACATGATGTTAAAAATAAGCAATATAAAATATAAATCCGTCGCTCTAATTAGAAAAAAAAAAGAACTTAAGAGTGAGTTGATAGAAATTTGAGTGTATCTAACGATAATACAATTAGGCGGTAATATAAGATCGATAAATTGAAAAATGAGGTTTTATATTAATCAACGAATATATATACCAAATATCACCCACAGCGCCGTCTTAAATTAAGTACATTTAATATATAAAATATAAAAATACTGAGCTATAAATGACGAAGAACATGTAGAATATAATTTTCCTCCAGTACTGCAAGTCTGTATATGACAGCTATGTCCGCTACTAATAGCTATGTGTAAAAGCTTTTAGTATCATGATACATACAGAGAAACAGATAATATTCTATTTATCACTATTCATGGAACAAATACTATTAATATCATGATCTAGAATATGAATTCTTTCATTTTCTTTTCCGTATTCTTTTTTTCTATGAAACGCGGCCCGAGCCAAGTCGATAGCGAGGAGCTAAGAGTTAATGTGAAAACTCGAGAGATCGCCAAATTTTCGTTAAATTTAAGCAACTGTAAAAGTTTGGAAAGCAACAAAATTTCAAATATCATTGACTAAGAGTAGAGTAGAATCTAGAACTAGGAGAGTATTGTCCTATTTAGCGATCTTTAATTAAATCTCTATCGTTCGTTTCGTTCGTTCATGTAGTTAGTAATATCGCTGTAGAGTGTATATACACACGCGTCAGTTTCTAAAATGAGCAAAAAATACACTTTGTTCAGTACGAATGTAAAATCTAACATCATCGGTAAATCGAACTCCGTCTTTGTCTTTAAAATTAGTAATCTCTTTGTCTCCGTTCCACTTACGGAACCTTGCTAACAGTTGGGTTGCGGCATATCTTTATACATCTATTCGTAGAAGCTACCTCAGTTAAATTATAAATATGCGTTTCCTTACATCTTTATCTCGTTGAGATCACCAGTGCCTGAGATATCTAATGTAGTATGCTATATAAACGTATCCTCCTAATTATTATTATTATTATCATTATCATTATCATTAACATAATTTAATTTAACCGGGTAATTGATGATCAATGCAAATTTCGTAATAAATAGTAAATCGATGAAGTTGCCGTTCAGTTTTTCTTTTCTTCTTCTCGAACAAATTTGCCGGTGTGTAAACGCCGTATAAGTAATACTATAGTATATGGATGAGCCCGTGAATACTCTCCTAATTCTCCTAATACGATGACCGCTATACCACAGCAAATGGATAGCTCCGTGACTTATCTATGAAAGTGGACTTAATCACGGTGATGAAATTCGGCTATGCATAGGCGGCAAGACCAGGAGCCCTCGGGAGGTGACGCAAGAGGCGGAGCCAGACAATACATGTGGTAGCCACGATCACAGTCGTCACAGAACAGCAACTGATCCTATTTTAGTTCGCCAAATATACCGTTAATATCAAATCAATCCATGGTCGTGTAAAGCGCATAATATTAATACATTCATTTTCAACGATTCTTGCAAATTTCGATGCCAATAAATTCGTCTGACAGCGCGTTAAACTCGGATCCGTCGATCGATTTTAACGAATAAGTGTTAGAATTATTTCAGATACGAGTTAAAATTGTTTATAAAAACGTAAACATGATGTAACGTGATCCGAAAAGATTCTCCAATAATTCAACAATTCTCTTACGATGAAATCTAGATCAATACTGTATTATTCGTACTATTCGCTCGCGCGCTTCTATTACCGTCCAAACTCATTGCTTAGGCGTTACGAGATCCTGCGAAAGAGATTGCGGAATAGATACTTACATCGTTGTCCGAAGTGCCGCAAATAGAGCAACATTTGCATTCGATACACTGCCACCTGTACTTGCGAACAGAAACGATCATGTTTGCAGTGAATTGCAAACAAGTTGGATGCCCTATAACAAGAACGTACGCACGTCAAGGAACACGTAGTGGGATGGAACGAGGAAACTGTCGTGGGATGCGAGTAGAAAGGTGCCAGGACAGTTATCTTGTGCCGAAGAACAGTGAACTCCAAGCTATTCATTTTTTTAATTTTTTTTTCCATAAATCATTTACTTTTCGATGCTTTCTCATCGTCACATCGTCAAATCAAATTTTTTTTTATACATGTAAGAAAGAAAGAGCATGAGAAATTTGATTCACAAAAGTACGACTCTATATGTCTTTCACCTTTCCTCAGCACTAAAAACGTCCGGAATAATGATACGTCCTCATGTTTCCGCACAGAATATTTTATTTCATGATATCTGTAATTTCCTTTTTTTTTTTGATGTTGCATTTTGAACATACTGTTATTATTTGGAATAATAGGTGGTAAGTAATAGCAGGGCGTACCTTGGAATAGTTCACGTTCTTTCTTGCGCAGCACAATATAAACGTCGCAGATGCACACTCTCCCTCGCTCCTTCTCTCTCTTTCTTTCGCTCTCTTTCACTCCCTCGCGTTCTCTCGCAAATTCTCTCTTTCTTTCATTGTCATACACACAACACGCAACTCATATAACGTATCACATTTTTTATATATATCATATATATACATATATATATATATATGAAGCCACACACATATATATATATATATATATTTATATATAACTAGTGTGACTTAAATACTATATTTATAAGCCTCATTGGGTATTGCTTAATTAAAACTGCCTAATAACAAATCTTCAATTTTATATATAACAAGGAGGAACTATATATCTGCATGCTTCCATTGTTTTTATACCATGTGAGTTTTTCTTACGACAATCTAGGGATAATATAATATTAATTTATACAAGAAACTGAAATGTAGTACCCTCTAGTCTGCCATATTAACTATACCATGTTAAATAATAGAATATTCTACGTTGTATCGTACGTTATATGTAAAGAAGCTGTAACATATCTTTGTCGATAGCCTTCTATACTCGAGTTACATAATATATGTATATTAAAAAGTACTCTGTAAACATGAAACTCTACGATTAAAGAAGACGATTGGTTCACGGCTGTAAATAATTTCCAAAGATTTCAAAAGTGAAATATAAAAAAACAGCGTACACGTACACACGTCTATACGCGTAGGAAATAAAAAAAAGTTGTACGACGTTACAACTTGTGTAGCGTACAAGTGTAGAGTAAGCGACATATAAAACTGCAATATGCCTATATAATTAAAAAATATATAAAATAATTCGAGTTTAGTCAAAGATAGTTTCAACGCCATTCTCGCGCTGTCTATGCTTGAAAAACTCATAAGGTATTACATTAATTTCGTACACGGTATCTTGTTATCCCTAATCAAATGATATTTGTACGAGTATCAAAGCTTGTACAAAACTAAGCTATGTCAGATTTCTACAAGAAGATATTAGTCACGTTTATGTGTGACGCAATCGTTAGAAAGATACCTAACTAAAACACTCGGTAGTGAAAAGAATTTCTTTTTTATGGTCTGTAAATGTAGCTTTATCCCATTATCTTCGTCTTGTTTGTTAAATATTTAATAAATATATTGCGTCATTACAAATAACAGTAATAGCAAAGGGGGCGGTATACTATATTAGGTCGGAGAAGCTAATGCCCACAACTAAAGGTAATTAAGAGCGGCAGATACAATGGAATGTGCGACATATTAGAAAAAATTAACGAGCAGTTCTGATTAAACAAGAACGCGCGCGATCGCGTTTTTCTTTTACTTTTTTCATCTTTACAACGAAATCCGATACATCACCGCGATACACATTTAACATTATGTTATACAATTAAAAAATAAATTCTCTACCTCAGAATACCATCTCACATAAAGCGCTCTACATGGAAAACATTAATAATCGTAATCTAGCTTATGTGAGAATGTAAAATGAGGCTTCTTGAGTAATAAGTTGTCCGAGAGACAAATTGTTACTCAAAATACACAGTTTTGCTATTCAACAAAAGATTGTTACACGGCACATTTTACACGGCTATGTAAAATGCATATCTCACGTTATAGCGAACGTCTCTCTCATTTCTACGAATCCCTGCTCAATATTTCTGAGAGATACGGAGAGATTTATTTTTCAATTAGAAAAATAAATATAATGAACACATCAACGAGTCATTAAACAAGTACCAATCGAAATTATCGTAATAGATAAAACATCATTTCTACTCGGTCGTTACTTAATCTTTTACTCAAAATCCTTTCAAAGTCGCGGAAGGTACGGAGATCCTTAGAATTGCACTCTCTTCTCTTTCGTTATTCCTTTTTCTGCGCTGCGCTCTTAGCTCGTATCATCTAAAACCTCATAATATTCAACAAACGCAAAGCCACCAAAGTATTATATTTACAAGCGTTCGGAAAACGTAGAAATATTGAAATGTGACGCGATCAACACTTCTCGTTATCTTACAATAAATACGTTGCTTTCATTAAAACGATTCTCATGATTGTGCTGGATATATAAAGTATATGTATATATATTTATATATATATATATATATATTGCATCTAAAATTCTTCTAAATCTGCCGGTGCGTTTCTCACGCCGTGCGTCGCCTCCTTCTCTTTTGATTTCTAACACAATAACGAAAATATCGGAATACACTGTCAAACAGAAGACAAATACATCCTCCTCAATACGTGCTCTGGTGGTACTGTGCAACAGGAATTTCAACAAATTTGCGTAAATTCCGCGAAAAAAACAGACGATCGATTTGCTAACCGATGTCCAATCACGCATACACACACACGACGAAAATTTGACTTCAGATGAAGACTTTTTAGTTTCGTACACTCTTTTTTCTCCCGTAATAATTACGTGTTACCGATTCAATATATCTTAGAACTAATCATTGAGATACTATAAATCACAGCAAATTCGCGTAGTAAAGGAATTCCTGAAAATTCCTATTACTCAGATGCGACAAGTTGCACCATTGACAAAACGATGTTTTGTATTCCTCGCCTTGACTAGTGTATGTAAAGCTCGTAACCGTTTGATCTACACTGTGCAGATAATTGAATGCTTCTCTTCTTTAATTATTGCACCCAGTTGCAACAGCATGGCTTTCAGGCTTTCTACTACCCTCAGCGGCAGTGACAAAATGCGTCACGCGACAACTGTAACCCTATACAACTCAAAAAGTTATCCCCCGTATCTCGGTAAATCTAAGGCATATTAAAGAGACGTGATCTGTAAAAGCTGATAATTGGACACTTCACACTTTTAACGGCTACGCGTACATATACCGTTCGTTCGTGATTAACGCATTAACGAAAAAGCAAAAAAGGATTATACAAATGTAACAGATAATTCTAAACATCTCGATTGCACGTTTAACAATTGTAGGTACGTTTGGAATACACGAATGAAGAACAGCGAGATCCTCTTTGCGTAAGGAAGGGCACGTACGCTTGCTTGCTTGCTTGCTCGTAAAATTAACGAATTACTTAATGTCTTTCACGATATTAACAGCTGAAACATGGAAGTATAAACGATTATATATAGCATAAACACGTGTATATATACATTATATATATGTATATACCCAATATTCTTCGTAACGCTTCAATATCGTCATCGAGCTGCCGACTAAATCATCGCGTCGCTAAGTAATCAGTAAGACTCGGTTTCACCAATGTAGAGATTCATTTACTGTTTCCTTTTTCTAACTTTTAAAATTTTAATTCTATTAGAAAATGATAAACAGTAAATTGAATGAAAATTAAAATTAATCTTATATTGCTGGATCAGGTCTAAGAATCATGTACATCCCGTAAATAAGTCACCTCGCACATTCGCGCGTATCGCGAGGAAGCGTACGCAAGATATTGCAACAAAGTGATTCCTTTTTTCTTTCTTTTTTCTTTTTTGAGTTGTATTTGGCTATGTATGCACAGAACGCAGTGCGCGATAGGCTCGCAAAGAGACGTAGAAAATAGAAGTACCGTCCGTAGAAATGTATGGTTCTCACCGCCGTGCCGATCCGAAATATATTGATTTCAATAAATACATGTGGCTACACGATTACCATCGTCATCGTGGTCATCGTCGTCGACGTCGTCGTCGTCGTCGTCGTCATCGTCATCGTCATCGTCATCGTCATCGTCGTCGTCGTCGTCATCGTCGTCGTAGTAATCATCATTGTCGTCGCACGCCGACGACAGTGCGAGTTAATTGTGATTCGCTCGCCGGGTGTACTTGCGCTTCATCTTTTCCTCTGGCTTACCTGAGCGGCCGCAATCGCTGCACGACACCAGCTCCTCGGAACCACCGGTCTTCTTGTTTTCACGTGCATCACCCAGGCAGAAGTCGCAGTACGGGGATGGCTGCGCTGCCGACGACTTGCCACCGCCGATCTTCTTCTCCGCGGACGGTCCTCCGGGTGTGGGTGGCCCGCCCGTGGCGCCTGCGGTTTCC